TCTGGCACATTTTGTTGAAGAAGGCATGAGCTTGGAGAAGCCAGACTCAGTGGGATCGTATCATGTGGAGTTGAAAAACCCTGCGTTTTCTCCTTGTGGAGTTGTTATCAAGAAATCATGGTTTAAAAGAAAGATAAAAGTCCATGCGATGGCCCTACTGTATCAAGACCTTCGAGTCCAAAGCATGAAATTACGCTTCTACCTCCTTCCCAATGACTCTTCCTTGAAAAAGGTAATTGGGAACCTCTAACTTCCCTAGGTGTTGCTAATGCGACAGAGCATCCTGGACTGGCATGGCAAACCTTGCATCAGGTCATGTCCTCATAATAACCTCTGTAAAAGTTCTCTTCAGAAATCAGTATATTAGAAATAAGGGCTGTGAATTGATTGTAAGCCAGTCATAGTACATAGCTTCTGCTGGCAAAAAGTGTTTAGTTTATGGTGGAACATCTAATTGGTCTTCTCACAGCTAAGTTTCAAACAGGAACCATGCTTCCTATAAACTAAAGCTTGTTGGAGCATGCAAGGAATCAGTGAGTGTTTGTGTCTCAACTGTAAAATAAGATGCATGAAACTGATTGGTTGGGCAATGCCCGGGGAGCAAGCTGAGCCTGGGACTTTTGGATGCTGTTACATTTTTGTTCAGGCTTGAGCTATGCAAGTGCAGAAAGAGAAGCAGAAAGAGAGAGTTTGGAGTATGCTCTCGCTTCATAAGCTGCTGAAAGAGTTTATTTACATGGACAAAGAAAGACTATTTCAAATCTCTCATAAAAGGACATTATGTGAGTTGGTGCAACTGATCATATTACACATATGTTGTTCTGAACTAAGAAGAGTAAACTACTTGTTCTTTATTGTTAATCTGCATGGCATATTTTCTTTCTCTGGCAAGGCCGTGTGTGGACTGACAAACACAAGTTTGCAACACCAGAACATACTTTTAGGACCTTGTGCATAAAGTAAACTCTCACTGCCTGTCTCAGAAGAGATCTTGCTCTCTCTTCCAGGCTGTCCATGAGCTTGAACTGACCTACTCTTCGCAAAGGGTTCGGAAACCACCTGACATCAAGAAGGCTCTGATGACTGGTTCCTGCTTCTCTCTGCAAAAGATGACTGATGTCACCATCTGTCCAGAGGTGAGACTCAAAGACTGCATTTTTGCCACTCTGCCAACCAAAGAAGTAAGGTAGGAATGCAAACCTTGCCTTTTCCTACAAGGGTTTGAATGTTTATTTGCATGAAGAGGTTATTCTTTAATTATATTAGATTTTGGCTTAAGTTCTTCCCAGTCAAAAGACCAATAATGTTTTGTTAACACGGAAGGCTGAGCTAGGTGAAAAGCTATGAGCAAAGCAATAGTGTCGTGCACTGAACCCTCACTCACTTCCACAGGACTTGAAGTTTAAATACTTGGATGCAGACATGGAACAACAGTACCTTGAATTACATGCTAAAGACATGAAAGATGAACTAAATATTTTCCTGATTGAAAAGGACACGAATGAAATAGTCTGGATAGCTGTCATAAGAAAAGGTGAGTTTTGGCCCAGGGTGGAATCCATAACTCGGTGGGATTTAAGGTTCAGAAAACTACGCCACTCAAATTCTCTCTCTTTTCCTATTTTCTTTCAGAGGACTTGAAGTCTACTATTTCACCTCCCATAGAAGGTGAGGAAGACTTTTGGGCATGTCCAATGCTTGAAGAT